AGAGAGGAAGAGAAAGAAACATGTCCCTTTTAAAAATAGTTGCAGGCCAGGCACATTGGTGCTTGCTTGTAATCCCAGTGGCTCTGGAGGCTGAGGCAGAAGGATCATGAGTTCAAAGCCAGCCTCAGTAAAATCAAGGTGCTAAGCAACTCAGTGAGACCCTATCTATAAATAAGTAAAAATACTTTTTATTATAAAAACATGGTATTCACATGGTACATTTATAATGATAACAACTTTTCAACAGTTGGCACTCTCGTGAAAATAAAATGTACGATTACATAAAATATTGAACATTACTATCTGTATAAAAATCATACACCCCAAAGAGAAACATATTTTTTTAAAAATGTGTATAAATTTTATCAACTTATTAAGAACCATTGAATTGTACCCGTTATTTATTTTTTATTTATTTCTAAGCTTACACAACAACTTTATTTTTGCTGAATATTTATTTATTTTTAAGATAACCTCTTTATTTTTAAGTTCAGCCTCTCAAGTAGCTTGAACTACAGGTATACACCACCACACCAGGTTGAACTGTACATTTTAAATGAGTCCAATGTATGGTTAGAGAGTCACATCTCCCTAAAACTGCTTTTATATCACATTAAAAATAAATTACAGTGGCTGGGGTTGTGGCTCAGCGGTAGAGCGCTTGCCTCGCACATGAGAGGCCCTGAGTTTGATCCTCAGCACCATTAAATAAATAATAAATAAATAAAATAGAGATATTGTGTTCAATTACAACTAAAAAACAAATATTTAAAAAAATAAATTACATGCACAGCTGTGCATAAAGAATGCACAGATCACTTAAAGCGATCTCTGGGGACAGGCAGCCACCTCCAGCTATGTTATTGAGGCACACCACCTAACCTCACTGCACCTCATTTTCTCATCCTAAAATTGGGGTGATGAGGCTTCCCTCCAGGGTGGTTTTAAAACAGAGCAGCTGTTTTGAAAAGTTGTCTGTGGCAGTTATTTTTGCCTTGCCGGCCCCGCCCCCTCTTATTCTTGTAGGTTCCCTTTTTTTTGCTCAAAATTCTAAATTCTAAAGAGAAGCCCCACCTAAATAGATAAGGTGTAATCTGCTAAATAATATTTCACTAGATTTACAGAGCAGAGAATATCTGATAACCTTTGTAGCACCCCTTCTCAGATTTTAATTCTGTCTAAAAAGGACTATAAGAACAAGACACAGGAAGTTGAAGTCCATTTCACGATCCCACCGATAAAAAGAAAGAATACCTACATCCTGGATGAGAAAGACCCTGCAGCACATGGCATTCCTGCCAGACTCTTCCTTTCCCTCCCTATCAAAGCCCTTTGTGCCCCTAAGTCCCTAAGACTGAGCTTTGAGGAGAGTAACTCTCCATTCTGTCAAGATTACCAACTCTGTGTGTTGCCCAAAGCTTGGACCTTGTCCCTGATGCCAATCCAATAACGAGGATACAGTTGGGAAGAAAGAAAAAAAAAAAAAAGAGTTTATTGCTTTGTTACCAAAGGAGAAACACTGGGGACTCTTGTCTCAAAGGATGTGTGTGATTCTGCCCATCAGCAAGAACAGGTGGCTTTTAAGAGGTGATTCAAAGGCTACATTCCTCATGTTCTGTTTAGAGTTTTAATTCACTTGTTAAATCGGGAGATAGTGTTTTTTGGGGGGGGGATT